CGGTGAAGGTTCTGTTGAGTCCCTAGAGCACATCCTATTTTTCTGTACTTTTTATAAGGGTGATAGGTTAAGATTAATTTCACCCCTCTTGCTTAAGTTTCTGGGCAGACCAATTGGTACTTGGTGTATTTGTTAAATGACTCTGAGAAAAGTAAAATAGAAGCAGTGGCAAAGTTTTTCCTCTCTGCCGCTAAAACTCATAAGATTATGACCCATATAAAACAAACAGCCCCGTCTACTGTTCCTTAAAGACCCATACAATTATTCACCTTGTCCCAGTGTCTTATGGCCTAGTATTACCTAATGTATCTGTGAGTGGCTTTGTATATGTATATATTTATATACATATGGAGCTATTACAAGTATGTTATGAATATTTGCTATTTTATCATGTTTTATATGTTTTATATATACTCTGTTGACTAATGGCCTGTTGGCTGAAATAAAGGTATGTTGTTGTTGTTGAAATACATAAAGATTGTTTATATTACTTTTTGCTTTTTTGTCTCTTCAATCTTATTGTTTCAATAGTTGGGTCTCAGTGAGGACAGAAATTGCACTCCATTTGAAATCCAATATAGCTTTTGGTGGTGACTCTATGTTATAGCCAGTACTAATCCTTAAAAGGCAATATTTGTTTATTGCAAGGAAAGAGAATTCCTCGTTTCTTAATTTGCATTCTGAAATGCATTTAATAACTTAATTAGGATGAGTGTTTACCATAAGTGCTAGATCGGTCTTCTGGTAAGTGTTGCCCAAATGGCTGTCTGCACATTCTGCTGAGAAGATATCTTTGTCCAAGTGTGCCAGCTTCAGTATGGCTCAACTGTAGCAACTTTGCCTGGTGGGCAAGCAGTTTTCGTATAGCATTGCCATAGGTTTCTCCAACTATGCTTTCAAGTTTTGGAATAAAACCTGTATACCTGGAGAAAGGTGTGGGGAGAAAGTAGCCAAGACATATTGCAAACATCCTTATGTTAAACAGAAAGTTTTGAATAAAGCAGACAACACACATCAAGGAGGTAGACTCTGGTTTTCAGCAAAAGGAAAACAAATTTTCAGGCCAGAATCATTTTCTCAGGTAAAGGCCATCTATAAGAGGAAAACTATGAAAAAAGGAAGAAACCCAGTTGTTAGACTGCCTCAAAAGCAGTATTTTCTCTACAAGATTGTACAAGGTCATATACCACAATCTCTCCCAATATCGATATACAAGTAAGATGACAGTGTGAAACATAAACACCCAATATTACATGGGGATACTAATAATGCCAACCTACTTTGTGAAGTTGTATGAGAACTACTCAGAATACTGTGTTACAATCAAAGTGGTTAAAAACTGACAAAAAAGGAACATCCCTGGTGGTGCAGTGGTTAAATGCCTGTACTGCAGCCACTCACTCATAAACTACAAGATTGTGAGTTCAATCCCAGCCAGGGGCTCAGGCTCAACTCAGGCTTGCATCCTTCCAAAGTTGCTAAAATGAGTACCCAGCTCATTAGGGGCAATTAGCGTACACATTGTAAACCACTTTGGGAGTGCTTAAGTGCACTGATAAGTGGTATAGAAATGTTATTGCTGTCCCTCTTATATTTGATGCTAGAAGTATAATTTGTCCCTGTAATGTGATTTTCATTGCTGCAGTTTTTGGGTGAATGAATGTGAACAGCAGCCCTTATGCAAGAAGGCTGATGTTTTGAATAAGGAGTTTATGAGTTGTATTATTGGAAGAAATAACTTACCAGTAAAGAAAGGAGGTTAACCAACAGGAAATTGTATTCACCCCTGAGGTCCAGGAAAGGAACACCCAGCTACAACACGAAACCTGCACCCTCTTTCAAGGGGTGTGCAGCAATACCACACTGGGCCGTGGAAAAGATAACTATGAAATCCTTTTGCTCTCCACCTCCCACGCCCCACATCTTCTTACGAAGGTTGGTTATGAATGGTCTGTGTTTCTTAATTCTTATCTTGTTAAGCACTTGCTGTCTCTCTAGTTCTAAAGGCATCATGTTTAGTGTTCAATTGTCCTTTTTCCTATAGCAGTTTCTATGTGTTTGGATGAATTTTAAATCAGTTTGGCAAGTGAGTAAAGAGAAATGGTAAATACTATTTTGCATTGTAGCCTTTGACTGTTTTTGCTATCTCTCTCCCTAGTATGAATGCTACCCCATTTCTTTGTGTCTTTTCATTTCTTCAGTAGAACACTGTGTAGTTGTCTCTGTCAAAGTGACCCATTTCTGTCCATTTCAGCTCACTCACCCCTAATATTGCTATGTTTATGTGTTCCATTTCCTACTTTACTATGTCTCGTTTCATGTTCCTATAATATGTGTAGTGCAGCTTTGGACAAAATTTGCTTTGTTGAACATGTCTGCTGTTTGGCTCCCCATCTTTGAGTTTCTCTGTGCCCTTAATCAGCTCTCTGTTGTGATGCCCCAATGTTGTTCCTTTCTGTCTCTCTGTTGTGTGCTAGTCCTTCTTGTTTCAATTGGGGTGTTTCATCACAGGGTTTTTGTGGTGAAAGGTTCTTTTCCTCCCTTTGCACAGTGCTAACATGTGTTAGCTATGGTGTCACTGTTGTTCTCTTTGTGAGAGCTTACATTGGTATCACCCACCACTACTGCTGCTGCCCATTATCTGTTTGTCCCTCTATTCCATGCATCGTATGTTTTTGACTGAATTGTTCCCACTCCCAGACCCCTCAATTCACCATCTCTTCATTTTTCTCAGATTCTTTAGTTGCCATCAGTGCATCTGTCCTTTTGTCCTTGCTCCTTGTTCTTCTTCTCCTCAATGACCCCTCTCCCC